CGAAAATTAAATCGAATTGGTAAGTATTTATTTACGTAAATATTTCCCGAGTTTTTCCAGTATATTTATTTATCATTAAACAATTCATTTTTTTAAAATTAAATTACCATAAATTGTCTACCTATAAATTTTCAATGTCGTTCGTCCGTCCGTCATTCCTTAATTTCGAGAAATGAGTTAAATAGACAAAAGAAGAGAAGACAGATGGAAAACTGGGGGAAAAGAGGCCCAGATTAAATATATGGAAACTGCCGATACAAACCGGAAGTTACGTTATTTCAATTCAAACGTTCTCTTCCGAAAGGTGTTAGATAGATGGCACGACTGTATTGTCAAAGGAAAAAAATGATGTACAAGAGAAAGCCTCTACTAATTTGAGGTAAAGAGCATTAAATTTCAAATTAAATAAATTAAAAATATGATAAAGAATTGCAGCCTGGCAAATAATTTCTCGTTTGTATCTAAATTGTGTTGTTTTTTTTCAATAAATTTCTTGTTGTTAGATGAAGATGTTTTACTACTGAAGAATAGTAAAGAAAACAACTATCAACTTCAAATCAGTATAGTTTAATTTTTCATGCTGCTGCAATTACTGATTACTCTGGTACAGCCGTTTATCTTTATTTATTTACTTCGATATTTCAATATTCGAACGGTTTCAGCATACGAAAAACAGCTCTATGTCAAGTCTGAGGAAAATAAATAAAAAAATATGATAATACAGTAGAGCGTTGTTTATCCGAATCAATTGGGGACTGGGGTTGTTCGGATAACTTGTTTTTCGGATAACCGATTGTGCACGAAAAAATATATTAACCTATCCCGTGATGAAATTTTTCTCCGTTGCGTGTCGGTTCGCATTGAATTTTCGTCGATGTTAAGCCTAACGAAGACTATTGTGTCGTTAAAAATTATTTCTTTATTTTGTACAAACAAAATAAATATATTGAAAAATATAAAAACAAATAAAAATTATACTTTAGGCCGACTGGAATTCTTTCGGATAACTGACTTACGGATAAACGACGCTCTACTGTATAGGTAATACCGATGATGCTCTGGCAATGATTGGACGATACCGCGGGTTGATTTTCTATTTGAAAAAAGACGATACCAAATGTAATCGCCGTGCATTGTGTAATTCACAGACAACATTTGGTTGCAAAAATCCTTTGTGATCGCCTTCATTGATCACTACAGTACGTAATTACAGCGGTTAACAAGATCAGAAGTGATGCTTTCAATGATAGATTGTTTCGAAGACTTTGTGAAGAAAACGACGAACACTTCAATCGTTTACTATTGCAGACGGAAGATTTTTACAAATAGATTTCAGGATGTCCTTAACATGGTCATTCTAGATTAGGTACTACAACCTTTATCAAGCCTACAAAGAGCAAAATTATCATTGCAGGAGGAGTTGATGGAATTGTAACAAATAAAAAGTTAAACTGAAATTAAAAAAAAAAAAATGGATGCCAAGAATTTTAGCTTCAAAAGCAAATTCCAATATTATATCCGGCTTTACGGGCTGCGTTAAAGAAGTTTTCCATTGCATTCCCATCATTATATTTAGCCGAAAGAGGATTTAGCGTACTCATCAATTTACCAACACAGAAAACAAAGAGATTGTCAATGGTGGAATGTGGGGATTTAAGATTGCTGATGACAAATATGAATAAAAAAATCATTCATTTGTAAGTAATCTAAAAATTCAAGTTATTTTTATTTTTAATTAATACAAATTAAAAATAAAGCAATCATAATTTGTAATTATGACCAGGAAATACCATAAATCGAGTCACGCCATTGGCGTTGTTCACCGTAGCATACGTTCTTTGTATGTTACTATTATTAATAAAATGATTACTTTGTTCGGATAAATATATTACAATTATATACGTAAAATTATATACGTTTTTTTTTACTAAATGTTTTTTGCGACATTTTCCAGTTTTTTAAAATAGTCGCCTGTGTTCTTTGAGAGNAATATAAAAAATATAACATAATAGGCATTTTAATACAAAAAAATTTTTGCAACCGAGGATAACCGGAAAAAGACAGGTTATTTGTGCAAAAATTTCCTAGGAACAAAAAAAGAAAAATAAACCAAGAAAATCGACTCTTCAATGACAAATGGCGAACAAAATACTTTCTTTTATACAAATTAAAAATAAAGCAATCATAATTTGTAATTATGACCAGGAAATACCATAAATCGAGTCACGCCATTGGCGTTGTTCACCGTAGCGGCATAATTTAGAACTAATGCACGCTTGCGTTGCTATGTCATACTTCAGCTCTTCGTACGAGAGCTCGTTTGTATTTAAATTTGCATATAGACGTAGCGATTATACAGAGTTTGTTACTGCGCATGAGTGGCGGTGTAATTTGTTTGCGTTTTAATTTATTTTTCGTGGAGTTCGTACGTTTAATATGGAAGTTTCTATTCGTGATTTTTTCAAAGTGAATTACGGCTATGGACATGTGTTGATGTAAATGCACAATTGTAGACTTTGTTACGCTGTGCTCAGTAAGTATAATTGGATGTGAAATTAACTGTGGAAATGGATCCTTTGCCTTCTGGTAGTAATTGTGAGAAGTTTAATAGGAAGCCACAAGTGGATCTGAAACGTCATGTTTATCGTTGTTGTAAGTTTAACTTGCTTTTTTTTTTTTTACTTATTCGTAGTTAAAATTTAGCCCACGGGACTATTCCGGCTTCGAGGGCTTAATTTATGCTCCGAATAAGACTGTTGGGACATTAACAGAGCTGTAGAGCGTATCCATAGGAGCATGGAGAATAGGCTGTAATACTGGTTAGAGGTAAAAACTGTTTCCGGGCCCACCAGTGGCCAAGCGGTTCCGTTCCCTAAACACTTCTGTAGTGGGAAAGGATGGGCTGGCCACCTGGACTTTTCCGGGTTTTCTCCATGTCCGTAACGCCTGAATACGGACAATTTACCCTTAAAAAGACTTCCAGGAAGTCTTTCTCCTTAGGCAGATCATCCAAAAGTTGCTTAGTCATAATTTAATAAGCAAACAAACAACTGTTTTGTGTCAGTAAAAGTTAATGCATCTATTATGCTTGCTGACGTCATTGCTGTAAGCGTGACGTTCGCAAGCAAGATGGCGACCGGAAGTGCCGTTGTTTGTTTTGGAGCCGAATATCTCACAAAAGGTTGGATTTTTGGATTTTTCTTTATTCTTTGCCGTTAAATATCGCCAGTCTGTTTCGTCACCGTGCTGTACTTACTGTTAAACATGACATAGCACGCTGGAAGTAGGCTTTAGGCTAATTTTCGGAGGGTCACATTTCGCGGTATGGTTCCTTTGATTATTTTGCTCCTACAACTCTATTAACACCCCAACAGTGTCATTCTGCAACCTTACCCTGGAGGTGGGACTAGCGAGTATTTACGTAAATGGTAGTGACACGTGCTGATACGTCACACTCGTGACGTATGCAACAGAAGAAGAGGAAGCTACCGAGTTAAGAGAGTTTCGATTCTTTCGGTGTTACGGTGTTTTCAGAAATTTACGTCGAATGATGAAGTATTTACATTCCTTCTAATAAAATACAGTAGAACTTGAATAATTCAAGTATTTCCTCCTTGTATCTGTTCCTTGTATCTGGTAAAGAGAGCGTTGCCCAGAAAGCGGCTTTACAGCTGGATTAACGAGTCAATGACATAACACGTTTCAAATGCCACGTCATTGATGGCTTACCTGACTGCATTAAACCCACTCTTCCAGACAACATTCTCATTTGATATATGAATCGGCTCTCCTTACGTCGCAATTTATGTGACGTAGAGGTTCCCTATGTATGTTAGCAACGCTATGCCCCAGAAATAAGCAAGATCGGGAAAACTTAGGAGAAAATATAGTTTGCCCATATTGGTTAATGGAATTTCGAGGACTTTTAGGAGATTCCAAAAGTCAAATAATTCATGTTTATTCTTTACGAGAATTTCGCGGCGAGTTTCCGAGCGGATGACTGCATCACCTTGTCGCTTTTTCTCAAGTGTATCCACGCCGACTATACCCTAAAGTGTAAATATGTAAATCTCCAGATTATCAAAGATGAATTATTTTTTACATGAGTTATACGTGGAGAAAAACTATTTAAGGAGAACTTCTTCCAGTACTTTAGGGAAATAGTTTTGGGCGAATTTCAGGTCGGTCGGTCTGGTTTTACGGCAGGAGATTGGCAACACTGTACACATTAACGTTAAAAAAGAAATGCCGCCATGTATATCGGAACGTGCACGACGACCTGTTAAAAAAACAGTTATTAATTAAGTTTTGTTGCGTTGTTTTGCTTCGAACGAATTCGTGTGGCGTTCTGTAAGTATTATGCTCTTCCTAAATTCTTATTTCTGTAATATAAAGTAGTAATTCAAATAAAATGGCTGATTTTGTTATAAAGAAAGTATTAGAGAAAAAAAGAAAGATGACCGAATTCCCGCCTAGATTCTAGCATTGAAATAATCGTTGGTAGTCGTTACTCGATGTTTTCCAGATGTTTCGTTATTTAGAAGTCATTAATTAATGGTGTTTCTGCACGCGCTACCGTCATTTCGATACCATGTTAGAAGTGAGCAACACGCGACCACTTAAAGCATCGTAGACCAATCTTGTTGCATATCCACGTTAAAATAGAGCACATTACGTTTAAACTATTTGTTGAAGATTGTAGTAAGAGATAGAAACGTAATCGAATCGCCAAGTATGAACGGATGTAAACGGATACGAGCGGCAACACGTTTCCTCCGCAGTAGTCATGGCGTCGAAATGGCGCGGTTTTCGTCATGCTCGACCATCTTATCTCTAATCAAGAAATTTTTCAGTTATTACAATTAGGGTTGCCAATTCAAAAAAATAAAAGTAGCTAAAAGCAAACAAAGAACTCTCTCTAAAAATAGCTAAAAAAATTTTAAAAATTTGCTAAACAAAAAATAAAAACCTACCTTTAATTAATCTATTTTTAACTTTATTCAAAAAGTCCATTCGTCGCTAAATTCCATTACTTCTTCAATTTCTTCATTGTGTTCAAAAGATGGTCCTGCTTCGAACTGTAAATGTTGATATGATTTCATAGTGCCTGTTTTTCGAATGACATTTGCTGGCAATTCATAATCATAGCTGCATTTCCCTAATCTTTTCAAACCATATCTAATCGTTAATACACTACTGAGTGAACTGTTCAATCTATTCCGCAGTTTGGTCTTAACAATATTCATCTGACTAAATAAACGCTCTACTTCTGCGTTTGAGTGAGGTAATAAAAAGAATTTTAAAACAAAATTGACCAAGTCTTGAAAGGGATTTTCTCTGGCAGCATCTCGGTATTGAGCTACATCCATCCACGGGTTTATTGTGCTGGAAGTTTCTTTCCACTGAATTGTATGGATTTTCCTCCATTGAAAGTCAATTCGAGTTAATATTGCATCATCAGTGAGAAACATTTTTGTGAGGTTTATTATATCACTTTTTAATTGGGTTGAGGCATTGGTCAATACTTAGTGACGTCATGGTTTTTAATATTGATATATTGTCGGGTAACCTTTGCCAAAGTTGTTTTATAAGAGACAAAAGAAGGCAATGCAGCGACTACAAATATTTTTCTTTTCTTCATCTAACAGTGCGGAATTGTTTATTTCAGTTTCAAACTGATAACCCAAATATGGATTGAGTGCTAAATGGTTTTCAATTACTACTTCATTTGTTATTTTTGTTGCTGGAATAACAATCTTAGAAAAACAAGATTCTATTAAATTTAGCAAGTCCTGTAGCAACTTTGTAGGATCATTATTCTCAGATTGAAATATTTTATTTAATCTCTGAACTTCATCAAGTACAGGTTTTAAGAAATAAGAAATTTTCTTTGATCATTAAACATTGAGAACAGAATTTCTGCCGTATAACATCTATCATTTGTTCTGCCTTTAAATCATTCCATTGTCTCAAAATTCTATCAATAGCGGTCTGAATTGACATCCAACGATTCTCACTACTTTGTACTAATTTCAATGGTTCGTTTCCATCATTCATCAAAGAATAGAGTTCCTTGTATTTGGATTGTCTAACTGCAGAATGAGAAAACCAGTTAAATGTTTCTTTAATAAGAAATTTTATGTTTCTTGGAAGGCCTTCTTTTGTAGCGTGGGAAATCGCTAATTGTAATGAATGACAGAGGCAACGTACCAGAATCAAAGCAGATACTTCGGCTTTGAGTTTAGCATATACACCATTATTGATTCCTATCATTACAGAAGCGTTATCTGTTCCAATTGCAACGAGTTTATGCAAATCCAAGGCATTATTTCTCAAGGAAAATTTAATTCCTTCACAAATTGCATCAGCATTGGTACTAAATCTAAAAAAGTTGTAGTTACGCATTTTCTATTTTGAGAGTAATATCTAATTACAATACCTAAAAGCTTGGAAACTGAAATGTCATTATTTTCGTCAATTAGTAAACTATAGTTGCTATCACCTATATCAACTATTAAATTTTCTTTAAAATGTGGTGCTAAAACATTTGAAATTATGGCTGAACATTTTGTTCGTTCAAGAGTCAGATTATTACAACTTTTGCTATCTGAAAAATTTGTTGTACAGAATTTAGTTAGTTTGTCTATATGACTAATATGACAACTTTCTGCTATAAAAAGTGCCATATTTCCCTCTGTTCTATGAACATTTGAACTTTTCATAAATGGAAGAATATTTGCACTCTGCTGAATGCTAAACGATGGCTCGGCTTTTATATGTTTTGAGTTTTCCTATGCTTTTCTAAATCACTTACTTTTGCTATCAAAATGCAGTTACAATATTTACAGCGACACTTTGTATTTTATCCTTCTATTTTCTGCAACCAGTTTTTAAACCTATCCTTACAAAGCCATTGTATTCAAAATTTTTGAGTGTATTTTCTTTCATTTGGCATTTTCACTGATGTCAGGGTAATAAATAATAAATTGCAATACCAATAAATAATAGTAAATAATAATATCACAAAATGACACTATATTAATGCACTTGGTTACTCACGATGCGGGATAGGTAACTTATATAAGGATTCCGAAATTTTGAATGTAACAACGATCACTGTCAATTTTCTTAAAGTTTGATAAACTATTTGAATCAGGATTGGACCTGTTACCGATAGTCGTGACGATAATACCCACTAAGCTCCGTCCCCTTTAAAAATATTTACCATATTTGGTCATGATACGAAAACTTGAGCTCTGATTAGTGTTGCCACGTATTAAAAATAAGATTTCCGACTCATGCACATAATTATTGCACATTAAAGATAATCAAATTAATAAATTTATTAAATATTTTGATTTCGTGGAAAATCTCTAAAATGTAGCTAAATTTACTAAAATATCTCTAAGAAAAATTCTCCATCACTAAATTTCAAAGAAAAGGTGTAACTAAAGCAAAAACTCGCCAAATATAGCGACTTTTTCGCTAAACTGGCAACGCTAATTACAATTTCAACTCTAAACACACCAGTTTATATATAATAAACTATATCACATATATAGATTTTGCAACTATAGGTTACACTTAATTAAATTAAATAATTTAAGTGATAGGATCCTGATATGTAAAGTGTGATTTAATCACTGTTGCCAAGTCCCAGATGAGTATGCTCCCTGGATCTGGTGGAAAAACTCCCTAAAAATCCCTTAAAAATATTATTCAACCCTAAATAAAAACCCTAATTTTTTGAAATTATAATATAAAAAATCTTTTATTATTCTTTTATGAATTACAAAACTTTTAAAACATTAAAAGAAATTTAATTTTCATAATGAATGGTTATCTTGACAAACATAAGACATCATTTAATTCTTCTGATAAATTTGTAAATTGAGAATTAATGTGGATGCAGTTGACTCAATTGTTCTAGAATTATAAGATTTTCTGGTAAACGTTGAATTTGTGTACACAACTCTGTAATAAAGGCTCTGCATTGGTATTTAACATCACTATACTCAGATTCAGAAACATTTGAACTGAAAACATTAAATTCATATCCCAAGTCAACATTATTGACGCAAACTAGGTGATTTTGAAAGTTTAACTTTGAGATCTTCATCGCTTACTTTTTCAAATATAGTTGGTACAATAATTTTTCGTAATATTGATTTTATAAAGTAAGAATAAATCTTGATATAATTTCAAAGGATCAGCCTGATCACTTTGAAATAAGTTATTTACAACACAGACTTGTTTTAAAACATTTTTTAAAAATATCATGAACAGTCTGTAAGCACTTAAAAACTTTTTCTAACGTTTTTATAGTATCTATAGATTTCGCAGGTATTAGCGTTATCTAACTTACTGTACATTTCTATTTCCTCCTTAAAATTATTATTTTGTTTTTTATATGTTCTTAATTCTTGTTCTTTATTCTCCTCACTTATGTAGAATAAATGCAATTTTGATAGTTTTGACTTACACATTGAATTGATCATATTCTAAGTACTTATCACTAATCATCAAACCTTTTTGATTAAGTCTAAACTGTGTGAAAAATTTTTTAACGTTAAATGCAAGATTAATTCTCATATAATTATTAATTGATGTAAAGTTAGAGATCACATAATAACAATTATTATAACAACAAACTACTCACCACACCTCAATAATAATCACATACACTGAACCAATTTACGGTGTGGTATGATAAACAACGAAAAAATAACGAAAAACAAATGTTTTCGAACCCCTTCCGGGTTTTTCATCAGGTTCCTACAGTTTTACTTTTAAATAAAGTTTATTATTTATACTTAGTTGTACATGCTGCAACATGCAGAAACAACAAAGAATACTTGATACGCGTACATCAATAATGTATTATAGACAGAGAAATTTTAATAATAATTACATTTGACATTTGCCATAATGCCTTAACGGAACAGATAGACTAAATATACATTATGTACAAGGTAGGCATTATGGTTACAGGTTGTTGCAATAGAAAACGCGGTTACAGGGTGCATGGCACCACGTCCAGATCTGACCCTGGAGGGCTGTGGACCAGGTGGAAATAAAAATATAACATATTACATAACCGACATTCTATACGAGTTACCAAAAACAGCCCAATGCTAACTGCATCATTGCCATTGATCATTTAATACAATATTTCCATTGATAGTTTTCCAGATGACCTCTTGTGTGCCATGGTATAGTTTATCAAAGTCATTTTGAGTGAGGTTGTCAAGGCCAAAAAGGATTTTCCTGATGGTTTCTCCTCTGATTTTGTCCACGATTAGAGACATTCCATTTTTTATCATCATGTAGTGAAGCACATCTGGCTTTCCAAAGTACCCTTTTTGTAAGGGCAAAGAACCAGTTGATCATATACTTGTTCTGATTGCTGATGGGGAAATCAGTTGTACCAGATGTTTCTCCAATTTATTGCGATTTTGAATATTTTATAGACCCAGGTCCAGATGATTTCAGCTATGGCACAGCCAATAAAGATGTGATAAGTATCCTCGTCAACACTGCACCGATTGCATTTTTTTTGCCCATGCAGCAGTAGCTGTGATAAACGTGGAGAAAGATCTTTGACATGATGATGATGTTTAGTATCCGCCAGGACGTCTCTCTCCATTCGGCAAGTATAAGGTCTATGTTAGACCATACTGCAGACCAGTTGACTGATGTGTCCGATGTATTGACATTGGTAACCTGCTTGTGAAAGATGTTGTAAATGATGGATGGCCTCACTTTGTTGTTTGTGAGCCCATTAGTGACCAACAATACTGTCCCTCCAGAGCTTGTAAACTTTGTTGTTTTCAATGGAGAAAGGCCTACGTCTGTTATCCCCAGAAAGTGACTTAGCTGACGGACCAATGAGGTAGTGAGCAATGCCAGAGATGGGATGATGATCATTTTTTAAACAGTTGGCTAGGTTGGCAATTTGAAGAGCTTGTTCTAGATCTTTAATGTCCCATATACCCCATCCCCCATTCATGCTGTTGTTTTTCATCAACTTTCTGCTTAGGGATTCATAATTAATATTCCATATATACTTGAAGATTTGTTTTTCTATTTTGTTTGCCTCTTTTTTTTGTTAGGTTTGTCACGTAGAGGTTATACATTATTTTTGCTATGAGGCATTTGTTTGCCACTATTGCTCTCTCTGGCAGGTATAACCAAGTTGTGTTCCAGCTCTGTATGGCCTTTTTGATTTTGTTGTTCATGTCATTGATGTTATTTCTTTGGTTGTCCTTGCCATACCAGATGCCTAGAATTTTGGCAGATTGTACTGACTCAATGTTACAATTATCATAGCTCCTTGAGCCATAGATGTTTAGTAGCTTGCTTTTAGAATTATTTATTTTCATACTTGTTACCTCACTGAAAATTTTTATTTTTTGTATAGCATCCCAGGGACATATATTTGTGGGATTAATTTGTCATTCATTATCATTCT